CCTTCGTCGCGGCGCTGTGACGTATGCGGCCGACAAATTCGACCTTCGGAGGCCCCGTCCTGCCGTTTTGGACACAGCCTTTGATATGATCCGGATCTTGGGGAGCCGTTTGTTTTATTGAGCCGTTCAAAAGAGCCATTCAATTTTGAACATATTACGTCATCCCGCAGGAAAATACGTCATCATGTAGCCGTACGTAAGAGGTAATCCCATCACGTGGGTGGAACCATGTGTTTGTCAAGCGGAAACCCCCCTCCCCTTTTCACCGTGAGCTTCTGTTCTCCACAACTCTGCCTGTTTTCCGTGAAAAAGCAAAGCGGGAGTGATGGAAGTATGAAAAATATACAGATTATATGAGGAGCAAAAGAAATAAAACTACAAATGGCTCGTTACTGCCCACGATTCGGCTCCTATCGTTCGTTGTAAAGAGCCGTTTAAAAGATTCCGATCGTTCGTGAACGTCACATCTCTAATCATAAGTTGAGAAAAATCAATATTTTTAAGATAACGTTGAGATAATTTAAGGCAACTGCACATGCGATTTTTATTTTATGTAAACTGAAAGCATTTAAAAGCATCACTAAAATATTTTTGTGTAATTTGTTACAAAATAAATTTTGAGTACTGAGAACTTATTAGGTTACAGTGTGACAGAACGAGACCTCAGATACAGGCTGTTTTCAGTTTCTCTGTGGAGCAGCTAGGCTCTCCCTTAGAGATAAGCTCCTTGGACGCCTCCCTAAGGAGGAGGTGGCTAACTGTTAGGAAACCCCCGGGAAGACCCAGGACACTCGTCGTTTGGATTTAAAGAGACAGCATCAAGCGTCAGCTGATCTGAGATACAAGAAGTAAGAAACAACAAGTAAGGAATTCAGACCAAAACAAAGACCCCTTACTGAAGGATTTTGTGGGAAAGAAGGATTTAAAAACATGACATGTCTACTTTGAATGTGTGACGGACRTCTCCCTCATATTGTTTCCAAAAGAGCTAAACTGGGGGAGTTGATAAGCAGGGCGGGTGGTCCCATTCACCCTCACCGTTCAGTATCCTTGCTCCGATCGTCATGGCTTGATACGTACCTTTAGTGATTGTCATGGTTTGGTATTTACCTCATTATGAGAGTCTGGGTTTGCGCTTAACGTCAACTTTTAGTATGTCTGAAATTATTTTGTCTGTCTTGTTTTTGTTAAACCCCYTAACAATGACCACCAGAATACTTTGTTTCCCCATTTCAGTATGAGACACTTGGATTGTTTTTAGTAATTCTGAATGAATGTCTGTAAACCAAATATTCTGGTTAGCAGACAACTGTGAGCCCTTTGCGACTTGTTGTAARTCTTTCATTTTATGACCATATAATTACAAATCATTAACTAGCTGTTGAAAATACAGGKTACAACTTTTCTGTCTTATATTTGGTTAGAGCTGAAACGTGCATGAGCTTTTCTTTCACTTTATAATTTTACGATAAATTTACAAAAGTACCAGAAACATTTGCATCATTATACAGAAGTTTGAACATCAGAGGAGGCTCAAACGTGTGCAGGAATCTTTGGAAATGTCTGGAAATTTTAATGTGGAAAAAGGAAGAAATTTAGTGAAAAAAATGGAGCAAAACTCTGAACTGAGATATAACACTGGCATTTTCTCTTGGTTGTTAGTAAAATATCTCATGAACTATTGGGAAGATATTAGTTAAACTTCCCCAAAGTATTCACTAGTTTGAAATTTAGTCAAACATATAAAGACACATTAGAGGAAGTTGTGCATAATATTGTTTACAAGGTTCGACCAAAATGAAACTTATTCCTTCTAAACTCAAGATGATTTCAATCTGGAACTCTCAGGTGTATTGTTGTAAATGTATTACTGCAGCAATATTAAGGCCGTATGTTTATTAGTTTATAGAATTAATAAATTTAAATGCAGTAAGATTGTCAGTGTAATAAATGAGGTGGACAGACGGGTACCTGGAAGCTGAGGTAGGTAAATCACACTGTTAAACAAACAGAGACCTTCTCTGTGGGCATTTTGTAACTTTTCACCCTGAATGGATCCTAATGTCTTAACGTCTGTGACCAAACACCACAGTAACGCTCAGCTAGATTCAGTGTGACTATTTACAGGCTGCAGGGCTTGGTGTTTGTGCACACAGTCTGTGTGTTATCTATGGCTTCGTCACGTTGTGTACTTCCAGCTGCTTGTAGCGCCTGCAGGCTCTGAGTGCACTTCAGAGTAACATATCAGCTGTGTGCGTGACCTTGTGTTACGTCACCAGCCTGTTCTAGGAACTTAAACAGAACCAACATATTTGTGGACAGAGAGCGGAGACACATGCTGGYGTTTAACTTGTTTCGTTTCCTTTTTGGTTGTTGTCTTAAAACCACAGCGAGGTGTTCGTGCTCCAGGGACACACAGAATCTGAGTTTATGGTTTGTTTTGAACTAGCAGTTAGCATTTTATTTATTTGTTTGTTTGTTTGTTTTTATTCATTTCGTTAAAAATAAACAAAACATTGCATACAATAAAACAATACAAATAAAATAAAATGAAAGGCAGCAGAAAAAAAATTCTTATA